TAGATAGGGACAGGGAAGGAAGAATAAGAAGTGGAGACATTTGTGGGGGGAGGGTTATTTTGTTGGACTGTATTTGTAGGAATCCTGTATCATGAGGCGTTTAGCTAACCACAAGAAGTCAGGACTACGGTTTGAGGACTTGGGTTTCCAGGGACTTTGTTTCTAATTCCCAGTGTGTTCTATCTAGATGTTTGAGTTCTATGAGCGGGTATCTGGAGCCCGAATGCATGCTGCTTATATCCGACCAGGAGGAGTGCACCAGGTGAGTGGCTCTCCTGCCTCCACACTTCCTGCCCAGGCCTCTTTCCTCTTTGACCACTGGAGGGCAGTATGGGCTGGTGGAATAGAGTTCTGTCCCCGTGGGAAAGGGGTACGGTAACAAGATCACCACTTGGTTTCTAGGACCTTCCTCTTGGGCTTCTGGATGACATTTACGAGTTTACTAAGAACTTTTCTCTTCGGATTGATGAGGTGGAGGAGGTAAGATAGAAATCAGTGGGAAAAAAATACCTTTATCCCCCAAAAGGGCTTGTGGAGTTTTAGTACCCAGGGTTATGTAAGTATAGAGGCTTTCTTTTGAAGGTTGTCATGAAGAGAATTAGCACACTGGATTTCTCCATCCATAGATGCTGACCAACAATAGGATCTGGCGAAATAGGACTGTCGATATTGGGGTTATAACAGCAGAAGATGCACTTAACTATGGATTCAGGTAGGAGCATACAGTTTCTTTCCTGGGGGTGGTAGAGAGTGCAGAGAGTTACAGCCCAGTGTCTTGGTTTCAAGCATGTTTGGTACTCTCCTCTCCATGCCTTGAGTCTGTATTCCATCACCAAAGTGTTGGGGAGGAGAAGGAGATGGGAAGCATGTGTGTCCCTTGTTGTTTTTGAGGAGGGTGACCCTTGTGCCCTTTGTACCTACAGTGGAGTGATGCTCCGTGGCTCAGGCATCCAGTGGGACCTGCGGAAGACCCAGCCCTACGACGTTTATGACCAGGTTGAGTTTGATGTCCCTGTTGGCTCTCGAGGGGACTGCTACGATAGGTGAGACCCAAGTCCTTGCCCAGCTCTTGTCCTTAATGGTTTCTTTGCTCTGTGTCCGAGTATCTGTAGGAGCCTGTGTAATTTATTAAACTTGGTAAGAGTTGTGCTTAGTTCGCACAGTCCTCAGTATTCTCCCTTCAGCACACACACCAAATAAAAACACTACTTACTTTTTACCCTTATCCCGCCATCCTGCCTTAGATAGAACTAGTTTGGATGCTTTTGTAGCTGAAAAGGCTGAAGCATAAGTTAGGGATTAGGCTGTTAGTGATTGAGATTGGAATCTTCCTGACCTAGCGATCTTCCCCCTTGATTCTAAGCTTCAGATCCACTCCTGTTTACTGACCTTGAGTAACATTTGCTTCTGTTGTTCTCTTTGTTTATCTTTCCATTCGACTCCCTTACTCTGTAGTCCAAACTGTGTTTAAGAGGATAAGACGATAGGAAGGGAAAGGGAAAACTACAGGCCACGTTCTGGAGAGAGAGAGACAGACAGACAGACAGAGAGAGAGAGAGAGAGAGAGAGAGAGAGAGAGAGAGAGAGAGAGATACTGTTCCAGGAGAAGCAGGAACGTTTACTTAACATCTGAGGTCTCCCAAAGGGCATCATTCAGACCCCTGTGTACTCACTCCTGTCTGCTTTCTCTTGTTCTAAGTGTGTCTCATCTACTTCAGGTACCTATGTCGTGTGGAGGAGATGCGCCAGGCCCTTCGAATCATTTTACAGTGTCTGAACAAGATGCCTCCCGGGGAGATCAAGGTTGATGACGCCAAAGTGTCTCCTCCTAAACGAGCAGAGATGAAGGTGGGCTGTAGGGAGAGGGAGAAAGATCAGGCATGGGAGCAGGACCAGTGGTCACGGGGAATGTCCTTGGATTAAATCCTACCTTAGGTTTAACTTTTACCACACTCATCTTTTATTCTGTCTTTACTGCTTCCTGATTACATGTGGTTGTTGTCTTCCAAAGGGCAGAGATTGTTGGGGGTTGGGGTAAGAGCCTGGATCTGCCTTTTTTTCTTTCTTTCCTTCTTTTTTTCTTTCTTTCTTTCTTTTTTTTTTTTTTCTTCAAGGCAGGTTTTCTCTGTATAACAGCCCTGGTTGTCCTAGAACTCACTTTGTAGACCAGGCTGCCTTGAGCTCACAGAGATCCGCCTGACTCTGTCTCCTCAGTGTTGGGATTAAAGGCGTGTCCCACCCCCTGGCTGGATCTGGTTTCTATGCTCCCTTTTCCTCTCCTCAGACTTCCATGGAGTCACTAATTCATCACTTCAAGCTGTATACTGAGGGCTACCAAGTTCCTCCAGGAGCCACATATACTGCCATTGAAGCTCCTAAGGTGAGGAGAGGGGGAGGGGAAGTGTGGAGTGGGTGGCTGGAGGTGGACAGTGAGTGGAGTGCTCCCTCACTAGTGACAGAGATGGTAACCAGAGATGAACCAGAGAGGCTTTGGCAGAAGAGAAGAACACTCTCCCTACTAATGGGGCATTCAACTTTCTTCCTCCGACAGGGAGAGTTTGGGGTATACCTGGTGTCTGATGGCAGCAGCCGTCCTTATCGCTGCAAGATCAAGGCTCCTGGATTTGCACACCTGGTGAGATGATCTCAATGGTTCTAACTGTAATACATTAATAATTTACTGACTTTGAGGATTTTTGTTTACTTTCAGCTACTTAGACATTTTTAACTATTTTTAGCTTATTTATATATGTGTGCATGTGTATATGTATGCTACATGAGTGCAGATATCTTCCAAGGCCAAAAGAGGGCATCAGATCCCCTGGAGCTGGAGTTACAGGCGGTTGTGAACTACCTGTTGTTGGTTTCAGGAGCCAATCTCCGGTCCTCTGCAAGAGCAGTACATGCTCTTAGCAGCTGAGCCATCTCTCCAGCACCTTGCTTTTTGAGATAGGACTTTGCTATACAGCCCTGGCTTGTCTAGAACTCCCTACATAGTTAAGGCTGACCTTGAATTTGTTGTCTCCTGCTTTAGTCTCCCAGGCATGAGGATTACAGGTGTACACCTCCACACCCAACTCTTGGATGAGATTTTGTCTTGTTCCATTTGTTAAGACAGAATTTTGCTACATAACTAGCCTGGAGCTCACTATATGTGTGGGCTATTCTTGGATTCACAGTGACCCTCCTGCCTTAGACTCCCAAGTGCTAGAATTACACACTTAAGCTCCTGTGCCTGGCTTGGATGAGGATTTTGGCTTGGGGTTTTTGTCATCGTGGTGGTTTTTTTTTTTTTGCTTTATTTTTGAGGTAGGGTCTCACTATGTAGCTCTGACTGGCCTAGAATTCTCTATGTATAATAGGCTGGCTTCAAACTCATAAACACCCTCCCATGTGCTGAGCTTAACCGTTATACTACCACACCCTGCCTTTGGATGGGATTTAAAGAGCTCTTCTCTGCAAACTTCTGTTAACATGTTGCTATCCCCTTCCCCACAGGCTGGTTTGGACAAGATGTCTAAGGGACACATGTTGGCAGATGTTGTAGCCATCATAGGTAAGAGACCTATTATGCAGGGGTTTGGGATTCTTTTTGTGAACAAATCCATATGCTCCCTTTCAGTGTAATCTGTGTCTTGGACACAGTCATGTGCTCTGGCCCTCTGGCGATAACACTTCATCTCTAACCTTCCAGGTACCCAGGATATTGTGTTTGGAGAAATAGACCGATGAACAAAGGCATAGCCTTTGAGCTCCTGTGCCTGGCAGCTTCATCTGCAAGGCCTGTCCCTCATAGGCTATGAGGCTGTGTGTCTCCGTGTGTATAAACAAACATACATGTACATGCTGACTTAAGCTGTACAGGCTTTCTGTGCATGTGCTAGAAAAGGAGAAATTATATTAAATTAGCCGCCTTGCGGCCCCTACGCTCAAGATCCTAATGAGTCTTTCTTGGTGTCTTTCTGTCTTTCACTTTGTATTTCCCTGTTCCATTTTCCCAGCTGAGTCTCCACCCCTCTCTGACTCTTGCCCTTTCCACTTCTCCATTCCCCATTTCCCCTTTCCTCTCAGTTCCTCCTGCCCAAACCCTCTTAGCATCTATACAAATTGGTAAACTCAAGTGAGCACTGGGTGTGTAAAGTTCCAGATAGGAAGGTAAGGGCTGTGGTGGGGTCTCAGGGCATCTCGGGGGCAGTCTGCCACTTATATACGACCTGTGTCTGAATGATGGGTGAGGGGTTGTTAAACATGGCCGGTAGAGGCAGTCTTTCCCAGGCGTGAAAGTCTGTTCATTCTGTGGGTTAGGAGGTTAGTTCCTGAAAGGGCTGAGGCTTAGAGGCCAGATCTTCCAGCTCCCCTAGTTGGCCCTTCCGGGAGCCGCCTGGTCTGTACTGCAGGAAGGGGAAGGGGCCAAAGTGTGGGGGAAGGCGTGGCAGGAAGGGGGGAACTGTGGTCAGGGAACTGTTCGTGGGCACAGCTGCGCAGTTCTGTCAGAGTGTCTGATCGCCAGTTCCCAGCCCCGAAGCCCCCGACCAAGATGATTCCAGCCGTGGTCTTGCTCTTGCTCCTTTTGGTGGAACAAGCAGGTAGGTGAAAGGGTTTGGTGTGGACTATTAGCTCTTAAGCATGAATTGGGAATGGAAGGAAGAAGGCTGGTGCTGGGCAGGTGGGCACAGGGCTGTGGCAGACTCTGAAGTTAGCCCTGTTGGGTCCCCACCCCACTCATCATTTCCATCTTTATTATCCCTTTCTTACCTTCCATACTGTCTTCAGGACCAATATGAAGGGTTAGTTTGTCAAGGGTGGGGACTACAGCATGAAGAGCTTGTCTAGGAAAGTTCCTCCTGATCAGCAATACCATGGGATGCTCTCTGGGGAGGTGGTCTCTAGCTAGTTATATACAAAGCCCTCTAGATAGGCTGGGGCCTGTCTGTGAGTTTGGGAATTCGGCAGGGGAGTCAAAGTAAACATGAATACCTTTTCTGGGGATGAGCGGGGAGATGGTGGTACACGCCTTTAATCCCAGCACTCAGGAGGCAGAGGCAGGTGCATTTCTATGAGTTAGAGGCCATCTTGGTCTACAGAGCTAGTTCCAGGACAGGCTTCAAAGCTACACAGAGAAACCCTGTCTCAAAAAAACAAAACAAACAAAAATCCCTTTCTGGGGATGGTCAGGGCCACACCACTGTCAACTGACAGCAGTAGGCAATGGTGCAGAGTCCTGCGAGTCCTGTGTTCTCAATCATCAGCTGAGAAGTAAAAGCGAAAGCCCCGAGATCCAGTGATCTCGGGTTCTAGGCTACCCAAGAACTCCCCTCAGCTTTTGTGTATTTTGCATTCTATCAATGTGAGATATTTGTCTTGTTTTGGGTCTAGCCTAGAAACTCCCTATTTAGCTGAGGCTAACCTTGATTTCCTCATACTCTTGCATCTACCTCCCAAGTGCTGGGCATATGGGCCTGTACCTAGAGGCAAGAAATTTGGAGAGCACTGGTTGAGAGCTGGCTTTTACAGAGGGTGGGGTAAACCCTAGGGAAACAGAAAGTATGGCTGGAAAGGAGGAGCACAAAGCAGGGACTTGGAGGCAGAAAAATTGGATTATTTTTCCTGTTGCTTAACTCCGGTTCCGAGTGTTTCTAAGCTTTTCCGAGTACCTGTGTTTCATCATCTGTAAAATGGTGATGTTGATGCTTCTTTCACAAGGTAGTTTTGAGATTTATGCAATATCGTGTGGGAGTGTTGTAGATTAAAAAGTACCAGTCTTGGCAACTTGACTTGTGTGGAAGAGGACAGGGCCACACCATTTCATTAACTGGTAAAAGGATGGGCAGCGTAGAGTGCCCACTCCTAGAGATTCGGTGCATCAGATGAGAAATAAAGGCAAAAATAATTAAGGTCCCAGCAGCAGGCTAAGGTTCACCCCATTGGTCCTAATAAAGCTGGGAGCAATCTGGAGCCGATCTCGTGTAGCAGCGCAGGCTGGCATCGTTCTCACGCTTCTGACTCAGCCTCATGAAATTGTGTGGGGCCATCATGTTCAGTTGCTGTGCCCTTTGTTGTTTGTGGAGTTTCATTTCTTGGTTTTTTTTGGGGGGGGCATTAGTTGCCAGTTGTTTTGTTTGTTTGTGTTTCAAGACAGGGTTTCTCTGTGTAGCCCTGGTGTCAAACGTCAAACTTAGAGTTCCACCGATTTTTTATTTTTATTTTTATTTTGACAGGATCTAACTATATTCTAGGCTGATCTGGAACTCATTATATAATTCAGGCTGGTCTCAAGCTCATGGTAGTACTCTTGCCTCCGCCTCCCAAGTGCTGGGATTATAGGCATGACCCATCACTCTCGGCTTCTGTGTGATTCTTTTCTTTCTCTCTTTTTTTTTTTTTTTAGTTGCACAAACTTCCCCTCTTAGAGGCCTAGCATGATTAACAGGGCAGAGTAGCAGGAGGAAGAATCCATATTTTAGATTTAATTTGTGGTCATTCCTTTGAGCTGTGCTCACTATCCAGCTTTGTGTTGAATTAATGGTGTCTATAGAGCCTCGCAAAGTAGTCACTTTGGGTTTCGTTTGGTTGGTTTTTGGTATAGTTAAGTGCCTCGTGAGGCAAAAAGCAGTGAGGCTGAGAAGATGACCAATAATAGAGTAATTGCCTTCTCTCCCTTCACCAGCTCACATCCTTCCTGTCCAGCCCTCAGCCACAGGTCACAGGACTTACAGAGACACACTCTTGTGGTTTCTTTGCTGAAATTTGCCACTGTGTCTCTCTCCCCTCCCCCTCTGGGCTGAGGTTTTTGTCTCAGCCCAATAAACTCTGATGGGTCCTTGAGGTAGAAGAAGTGTTCAATGATGCCTGAGGAACCACAATACTGAAAGGAGAGTTCTAGGGCTGACAGGGAAGTCTCTAACCCTCAGTAAACCTAACTCCTACCACAACAGAACCCTTCATGCTTCTGTCTGACTCCTGCCATAGTCTGGGGAAAGAGGGGAGAGAAGAGAAAGGACAGTCTAAAGATGGGGTTAGTTTCTTCCCTTAGAAGGACCCTCCCGCAGCAGGTCCCCATCCCACCTCCCCGATCCCTTTCCCTTCCCGGTGCACAGGGCAACCCTCCCCTGCCCTGTGCACCGGGTCCCATGGGTACCCTGTATCCCCTCAGCTGCCCTGGGAGAGCCCCAGCTCTGCTATATCCTGGACGCCATCCTGTTTTTGTATGGTATTGTCCTTACCCTGCTCTACTGTCGACTCAAGGTAAGGTGGGGTGAAACGGTCTAAAAACTGGACCCAGAAGTGGGAGGGTGGCAGGAAGGGGAAGCAAAGGGGTTCTCCATGGTTTAGAGGGAAGGAGATGGGCCTCCAACTTCTCTCTTACTGATTGCCTTTCTCCCTCTCCAGATCCAGGTCCGAAAGGCAGCTATAGCCAGCTATGAGGTATGGAGTCTCTCACACCTTCATGCGCTCAACCTTCCTGGGTTACTAGCCTTAGGTCTGAGGCCTCTAGGAAGGCACCCTGTCCCTCACCTCAGGGTGGCTAATACTCTGCTATCTAGTTGAGTATAAATAAAATATCTGGACAGGAAAGAAGCAAGTGACAGTACATGAGAGAGTTGTATGTTGTGCTGAAATGTGTTTGCAGCCATATGGGTAAATAAGCAATCATGTGAGTGCTCCTGGCTTAAAGAACCTAATGCTAACCTTGACCCAGATCTTCCCTGGGTGGGAAAGAAGATGACGGGAGGGGAGCCTGAAGAAGGTATAGATCTCTAATACCTTGCTCCTTCCATCTGTACAGAAATCAGATGCTGTTTACACGGTGAGTAACCTCTTTTACCTACCTTAGGGGTCATAAAGAAAGGCTGGGATTTAGAGTGACCTGGATAGGAATGGAGTCTGTGTGGTGGGTGGGGCCCAGTGAGAAGCTCAAACTCCTGATCCGCCTTTGACTCTCCTCCAGGGCCTGAGCACCCGGAACCAAGAGACATACGAGACTCTGAAGCACGAGAAACCACCCCAGTAGCTTTAGAACTCACGTCCTTGGTTGCATTCTTTTTCTGCTTCTAGTTCTCTCCTGGCCCTCGTGGTTGATGTTACTATGCTACCTCCATGCTTTTGATGCTAGCTGACCTTACTCCCATAATGACGCTGGACTCTAAACTAATGTACACTGGCAGTTCCTCCTCTCCATTAAAGACTTACTCACAGATGTTTATTTTCTTACATATTCCTGTGCTTCATTCCTCTTGCTTTCTCTGATCCCCAACTTTTGTTACACCCTGGGAAGGGATTACCTTCTAATAAAGCTGCCATAGATCTGACTCTACTCATTTTGTCATTTATCAGATATCGGTTTAGCTTGTACTAAGCATTAGGCTGGATACTGAGTAAGGCAAACGGAGCTGCTGAGAAATAGGACTTCAGGGCTACTTTGCTCTTTTTTTTTTTTTTTTTTTTTTTTTTTTTTTCTTTTTCAAAACCAGTTTCTCTATAGCCCTGGCTGTCCTGGAACTCACTCTGTAGAACAGGCTGGCCTCAAACTGACAGAGATCCACCTGCCTTGCCTGGGATTAAAGGCATGTATCACCATTGCCTAGCTACTTTGCTCTCTCCAGGTCTGAATGCTGACTGTATCTGGATAAGACACTTGTTCTTTGGGTACTCTGAGATGAAACTAGATCAGGGAACATTTTCACACACTCTCACTCTGTGTTGGGGATATGGATGTATTTGACAACATTAGAACCTAAGAAATTACTTCTGTACTCAGTGTGACTTTTTTTTTGTCTGAAAAATGAATCATGACTGGTTTGTGGAGAAGCCTGTATGTCTAGCCCAAAATAGTCACCAATCTAGATAATATCAATCCAGCTTATGTGTGTTTTAGTTAGCTGGAAAGCTAAGCATACAGAAGGAATGTAATGACAAGGATCATGTGACCCTCCTAGTGGGAGATTTTTATGAGGACAATGAATTTTCAGGGAATTTGGGAGCAAGAAGGACCTTAGAACCCAATAGAGGCTGAAGGTAAGAAAGGTGAAGGGAACAAGTTGGGTCTAAATGGGAAGTCATTTCCCACAAGATGGGTAGTCAAGGAATCCCCTTCCAGTACCTGTCCTTGTCCCAGAGTCACTAGGAAGTTCTTCCAGGGAATTTAAGCCATGTAGTGAGCAATGTGTCTGATCTGCCTGCCTTCTTCCAGAAAGGGCCAGTGTGTCCAGGCTCACCCCTGGCAATCCCCTGTGCTGGACAGCACAGCACTGCACAGTGATTTATATTTTCAAAGTGTTTTCCTATTGTATCATTTTATCTGCTCACTAACCTGTAGAAGAAATTAGGCTCCTTGAAATATTAACTCATCTGCGGTCACCTCGAAAGTAGGGACACTAACTTGCTTGCCTATGTACATTGTTCTACATAAAACAAGAAGGGTTTTTGTTTGTTTGTTTGTTTGTTTGTTTTACACTGGTTGTTCAAATGCTAGTGTTTGAACCTAGGATTTCCCACATGCTAGGTAAGGACTCTACCATTAAACTGTATCCTTAGCCTTTTGTTTTGTTTTCTTTTTCCTTTGGGGATTTGTTTGTTTGCTAGCTTGCTTTGATTTGACACAGTCTGTCTATTTTGTAGCTCTGTTGGTCCTGGAACTCCTAAGTGCTGGGATTAAAGGCAGGCATGTGCCACCACACCCAGCTAAATGAGAGGTTTTGAGTGAAGAAACTAGAGTGCTTGGGGAGAAAAGAGTTAACCTAGCCTTTTGTTGTGGGGTGATGGAAACACAGTGTCCCTCAGACTCAAAAGAAAAGATGAGGTCTTGAGTCACACTGCTGGGCTCTCTCTCTCTCTCTCTCTCTCTCTCTCTCTCTCTCTCTCTTTGTTGTTTCTCCAGACAGCCTGTCTTGGAACTCACTCTGTAGACCAGGCTGGTCTCGAACTCACAAAGATCCACCTACCTCTGCCTTCCAAGTGCTGGGATTAAAGGCCTGCAACACCACTGCCCAGCTGGGCTCTCTTAAAAAAACAAAACAACAACAAACCCAGGATCTTTTCATAGAAAGTTTATGAAGAAATTCTGAAGGTTACCCTTGTTTCCTATGGCCCCAAGTCAAGGGGGTTTGTCTTTAAGCCCTTCATTCCTTTCTTAGTTCCATTGTCCTTCATTCATGCTGCAGAATCACTCAAGGGGGGCACTCCTTGGATTTGGAGACAAATCTCAGGCATCTACTCTATCGTGTCCATCACTTATTTCTTCAGTCCTTTTTTCACAGGTCACACCAAAACTCTCGTCCCCTCCCCCTTTTAGAAACAGATGAATCTTTTTCCTCCCTCCTACTCCTCCCCCACTCTGCTACTTCTCCCAGTCACCCAAAGACACGAGGCACAGTTTGACTCCTTCCTCATTTATTGGAGAAAACAGGCAGAAGATAGGAGAGGGACTTTAGGGTAGGCCAATGGTCAGGAGAAGGGCTCGAAGGCAAGGCCGGTGGGGCAGCTAGGATAGGAAGACTGCTGTCTGACGCCTCACTTAGCAGCAGGAGCTGGTTTCTCAAGGTTCATAAAGTTGCTCAAGAAGTTCATCAGATCAGTACTAGCTTTCTTGACCAGGGGTGTCAGCTGCTCTTGTGTCTTTTCAAAGTAAGCCCTGGGGAGGGGAGGGACCAGAGGTTAGTTGGTGGTGAAGGTGAGAGCAGACTGATCCAGGTTCCTGGAATATCAAAGTCTGAAAGAGGAGGAATAGGTAGACCTTCCATTTAGCAGAGGGTCAGACACTAGAGACTGGAGTCCAAGGTCCACTTCCTGCTGCCCCCCTCTGAGGAATACACTGGATCTATGGGGATGAGGGAGGAATTTTTCTTCCTAATCTTCCGGAACCCGAGCCCGAGTTAAGATTCCATGAGAACTCCCAACTTCCTATCTCTGAAGTCCTGGAACCCCTTGAGCCCTCTCCTAAAGACTTACTTGGCTTGGGTCTGAATCTCCGAGCTCTTGGCCTTCTCCATCAAGTCCTTGCCATAGTCAGTCATGCTCTGAAAATACTGACTGAACAGGCTTTGCAGACCGGGCTCCTCCGCCTGTCTGCGAACCAAAGCCCCTACACAAACACATAAGCAACCATCTTTTCATTTAGGTTCTCAGCAATAAATCCAGGGCTCCGTCACACTCCGAAAGATCCACCTTCCCCAAGTTGGTGTTCTGCTAGGTTTTTTGTTTTTTTTTTAGACTTTAGAAAGGGAATGATCTTCCTCTTGAGTTGTGGCTGACACACTCAGCTTTGCAAACACAAGAGAATTGGGGAGCCAGGACCCCCCAGCATTGTCTTTCCTTTGGTTTCCTTTCTCCATATCACAAACTCACCTTCCAGGCTACAGATGGTGACGAGCAGTACAACCATTGCAAGCAGCTTCATGATGGCAGTGGGAACGTGGTCTGGGCACAGGGAGTGGTACTGATGGGAAAAGACACTGAAATCAAATGGGCATTAGCCGCTTTCAGGGATCCCCGCACCTGGATGCCCGCTCTAACCTAATTCTTTCCCGTTCCACAAGAAAAGCCCCATCCTTTTTGCGTGTTGCCCACATCTCGTGCTCCCTCAGCGTACCTGTTCAGCGTCGCTGTCCTTGGCGTGTACTCGGGGCCTGACGGGAGACAGGGGCTATATATACATCTATTTCCCCACCCCTGTCAGGTGATACAGAGAATGGCAAGTCCAGAGGGGCAGAGATCATGCTGGAGTAAACAAGCTGGAGAGATGGACGAAAGAACAAGCCAACGGGACTCCTGGTTTTAGAATGAGAGGCAGAGGGTATAAACTCTAGTGAAGACCAAGACCTGCTTATGATTTATTTTTTTGGGATCAAGGGCTGAAGCTGATGGGTTAATATGTATCAGGGAATCAGAATTCTAGGTTATTTCTCTGGAAAGCTCTGACATGAAGCCCTTAGCCCTTGTTATCTTTACCTCGGTATGGATAGATCTCATTCCCCAACTCTACATCCCTTCATAGCAACTTGACAGAGACGTATTTGAGAACTATGGAAAGAAGCTAGTGCCTTTAATCCCAGCACTGGGGAGGCAGGCGCAGACTTATCTCTGTGAATTTGAAGCCAGCCTGATCTATATAGTGAGTTCCACGGCTGCATAGAGAGACCAGTACAAAAAAAAAAAAAAAAAATAGAGAAAGAAAGAAAAGAAGCAGGAGGTGGCAGGGAATGGGACTTAGGGGAAAACAAGTCAGAACAGGTACAGCTGACTCTGTCCTTTTTTGAGTTAATGTGTAATGAGACAGGAAGAGGGGCATGGGAATGTAGAATAACACTCCTGGGTTCTCATCGATGAGTATGCCCTACCCCCCTACCCACCCACCCCCCAATCAGAAAAATAGCCTCTGCCCTCCTGCTCCCAACTGCGACAGTCAAGAGGGTTCCATCCAGATAAAGGTCGAAGGTACCCTGGTCATTTGACCACCTTATCAGTTAGGTCGCGGCCCTTGGCCCAGCTCTAACTGTGCGGGAGGGCAGAGGCACATTCCCTAGACAGGAATCAGCTAAGCAGATTCCGAAAACATGCCTACCTTTCACCCTTTTGACCCCAACGCTTACCCTGTGTGCCCTGGAACACTACTGAGAGACATGGGATGGAAGTATGGGAGCTAGTCGGGGAGGGCGCAGACAAAACCAGGACATCTTGCCCATTTTCAGTTCTCTTGTGAAGCAGCTCTACCTCCTGGCCCTGGCCCCGGGGAAAGAGTGCAAGTACAGTCTGCAGTCGTCTTCCTGGATTTCATTAGTTCTTTCTGCAAGGAAGGACTAACTCGAGAGGGCAGCTGCTTCAGGAATTAGTTCTGCCCATAACCCGCTCCCCTCTCACAAACTCACAGCCATTCCTATTCTAACAAAAAAGGCAAGGCGTGTAGAAGAACTCCAGAGGGCGAGGTAGTGGTGGTGGGGTTTTGTTTTCTAGGGGAGAGCTGTGTCTGTGAGCTGCAGTCCTTTGGAGGTGTGTGGTGGGGGGCTGTGGGGATTCCTCAGAGGCCTTCAGCAAGGTGGGGAGTTATGTGAATTAGTGTCTTCACAATCCCTGAGAGGCTCTTCATAAAACACGTCTGCAAACTCAAACTCTAGTTTCACTTTTCTCACGTCCGGTTTAAGGAGCTCCAGTGGTCCAGGCGACAGAATGCTCCCTCTAGTGTCATGAATGCTCACAAGTTTATCTCGACCTTGAAGAGGCTGGGCGATCTTAGCAATGTAGCCTTCGACTCAAGTCTGAAGTGCCACCCACAAACTCCCCGCTGCAGCGCCGGACTGAAGCTCCGGGGCCGTCAGGCCTGCCACTCTTCTGTTTTCTTCCCTCTCATTGGTCACTGGGAAATTGAAGCCCCTTTTTTCATCATTGAGTGGGTTGGGTCTTTGAGCGCTTCCTTTGCCCATTTCCAAGATGGCGCCTTATAGCCATGCTTGGAATGCAGGTTGAAGCTATAGTTCTGCCATTACTCAAGATGGCTGCCCCCATCAAGATGACCGGGGTGTGCCTAGGGGAAAGGGGCAGCAGGATGGTTTGAGATGGTAAGGGCTAGTGCTCCATTTCGGACAGAGCCTTGGGACGTGGGAATGAAGAACAGAGAAACTAGGGAGCTAGCTGAAGCCTGTGGTGGTGGTTAAGAATAGATAATGGGAGAGCGGACAGGGGTGACAGGTGGGGGTGAGGGATCAACGATGGGGCGGGAGTGTGCCTGGAATTCAATTTTCCCATCGGTGCTCTCTCCCCCTACTGTTCCTTGTTGCAGGTCTAGCACTGAACCATATGGAAGTTTGTGAAACTGGGGAGCCTGATGATGGGGGGTGGAGCCCGTGGGGGATAGAGGGAGCAGTAGATTGTTTCCCCAGGCTAACCCCGACCCCTCCCTGTCCGCTGGACTAAAATGGGGAACACCCTGGGCCTGGCACCGATGGGGACTTTATCCCGCCGGAGCCCCCGTCGAGAGGAACCGCTGCCCAACCCCGGGAGCTTCGACGAGCTGCACCGATTGTGTAAAGGTGAGCATTGGCATTTGGGTGTCTCAGGTTGAAGGGCTAGAGGAGGGGAGGGCCTTGGATGCTGATGTCCAGTGATGTGAACAGAAAGGAGAGATCCAGCTGGAGCATCCAGCAGTCAAGAAGGATCAGATGCCCAAAGTAGAGCATTTTGTTGCAGGATTTGAAAGGAGGTCATTTCCTTCATTGCTTTCCTATGGGACTAAACGGGAAGTCTGTCTCCTTGGTTGGGGTCCTTGTCTGTACTTATTCCTTCCCTTCCCTCTTTCAGATGTATTTCCAGCACAGATGGAGGGCGTGAAGCTGGTTGTCAACAAGGTTCTGAGCAGCCATTTCCAGGTGCTCCCACTTCTCTGGCCCCTCCCTGCCTGTCCCCAGCTCCTCTTCCTCACACCCTTTACTCCAGTCTTAGCCAGGACTTTGCCTGTGGGACTTGTTGCTTAAAATCCAGCGACCCTCTGCATATGTTGGAATAGTTGAGGTTTTTAAAAGCACCCGGGTGGGGGAAAGACCAAGGGCGGGGTAAGGAATTGAAGTGCAGTGGAATGTTATGTTCTCTATCGTCTCCTCTTTCTTCAGGTGGCTCATACTGTGCACATGAGTGCCCTGGGCTTGCCAGGCTATCACCTCCATGCCGCCTATGCCGGGGACTGGCAGCTTAGCCCCACTGAGGTGAGGGCTCCACCACACTTGTGTCAACTCCCTAGACCCTGCATGGACGTGGGTCTTGAGAAGGAGGAAATGTGGATGTTTTCAGGAAGGTCATTCAGCAACTATGTTCTCTGTGCCTCTTCTGAATGGGAGAGGGTAGAGAGATATTCCTGTGCGCAGAGGCCAGCGTTTGTCTTTGATGTCCGCCAGGGGGCGCTGTGTGATGTTCCTGAAATCCCTTAGTGTTCGTGTTTAGGTAAATACACCTACCCATCTCAGCCTTACTGTCTACACTCCTTAACAGGTGTTCCCCACTGTGGTGGGGGATATGGACAGCAGTGGCAGTCTCAACGCCCAGGTCTTGCTTCTGTTGGCAGAGCGTCTGCGAGCTAAGGCTATCTTCCAGGTGACCCACAGTTCCTGCCTCCCTCCACTGAGGCACTCCTCTCTCTCTTCCATGGGTATCCTGCCTTGGGGGACCCAGGGGGAGGGGCAGAGGCAATATTGAACATAAACAGAGGGAAGGGTATTTTATTTCTTACTCTCCTCACCAGACACAGCAGGCCAAGTTCCTGACATGGCAGTTTGATGGCGAATATCGGGGAGATGACTACACAGCCACTCTGACCCTGGGAAATCCTGACCTGATTGGGGAATCAGGTGGGGAACTGGGACAGAGTTCTTGCCTGTCCATTTGCAAAAAAAAAAAAAAAAAAAAAAAAAAGAAAAGAAAAGTCAATCATGCTGTTTCATCTTCATTGCAGTTTGGGGATTAGAAAAGGAACTTTCTGGGCAGGTTTAGAGCGGGAATGACTGGATATAAATCTGACTCTTGTCTCCTCACTCCCCCACAGTGATCATGGTTGCTCACTTCCTGCAGAGTGTCACTCATCGGCTGGTGCTAGGAGGAGAGCTAGTTTATCACCGTCGACCAGGAGAAGAGGGGGCCATCTTGACTCTGGCTGGGAAGTACTCAGGTATGGTGTCAAGTGACACAGTGGTGAGGAGGAGTGACTCTGGGCTTTTCTGGGGGTCCCTGCCGGTATCTCCTACAGTAACTGTCTTTTCCCTCTGTTCTTTTTCTCCTAGCTCTACACTGGGTAGCTACGTTGAATGTTGGGTCAGGTGGGGCCCATGCAAGTTATTACCACAGGGCAAATGAACAGGTGAGATTACCGAGCTGACCCACTATCCTATTAAGTCAGTCAGAAACTTCTGCCCCTCAAGTCTCCCCAGGCTCCTGGCCTGTTATTCTTCCTCCCCTCCCCTTGGTGTACATTTTCACACATGTTTTTCGGCTTGCTGATACCCTGTCAGGACTCTGCTGGCATTCATGGTGACTGTTCGTCTTCTCATTTTTGTCCCTGCTTCTCAGGTTCAGGTTGGAGTGGAGTTTGAAGCCAACACAAGGCTACAAGATACAACCTTCTCCTTTGGTTACCACCTGACTCTGCCCCAGGCCAATATGGTGTTTAGAGGTGAGGGTTATTGTGACATTTGGAAGTACTGAGAGTTTGGGGATGTGGGGGTGGAGGCTCTACCTTACTTCTGTTTACCCCAAGCCCTACTTACCCCCAGTATTCTTTTCCCTGGCAGGCTTGGTGGATAGTAACTGGTGTGTAGGTGCTGTGTTGGAGAAGAAGATGCCTCCCCTGCCTGTAACTCTAGCCCTGGGAGCCTTTCTCAATCACTGGCGCAACAGATTCCATTGTGGCTTCAGCATCACTGTGGGCTGAAGTTGTCCTGGAGGCAACTTCCACAGCAGCTGGAACCTTTGAGTCAGATGTCCTAGGGCCAGAGACTACCTAGGTTCGTCTCCAAAGCCTACCTTGCTGATGACTTCTAGGTCCCATGGGCAGAGTAAGGGGATAGGACCGTGTCCTCCTCAGAGCTGGAGCTTGCCACACGATCACTTTCCAATGAGGCAGTGGTTTGAGGTTCCCAATTCTGCCATCACCCCCACTGTAATTTTCCACAAGCTCTGTGGCTCTGGACTGAAGGAGAAGGGTCAAGGATGTATCTGGCTCCTCTCACCCTACTTTCTTCTTTATTGTTTTTATTTGATGAAGGAATTAGCTTCTTCAGAGCAGAAAAATCTGCATGGGATTCGCTCCCTGTCCCATTTCTCCCAGTTTTTAATCCCTCAGCCCCCCAAGGTTGGGAAAGTAGGGTTAAAAAGCTAAATCTTTGGCCATAGAAAGACCAAAGAATGGGCCCACCCATTCCCAGAAGGAACTTGACCTTCTAGCCCCGAGGCTTCCTCCTTTCCCATCTTCTGTGTTTCCAGAGAACAACTTTGTCCTTATGGTTAGCCCAAGTCCCCACTCTCTTCCCATTGCCCTCTCCACTCCCCATCGATGACGGCACGAAGAGACAGTTACTGTTCAGTGTTTCATTGCTGTCACTGAGCTCCTTTCAGCTGGTCCCCATCTTGGATACCAGCAGTTTCCCCTTTCCAGTCCAATGAATCCCAGGGGTCTGGGGAAGGAGGCAAGCCTGGGCCTCAGCTGCAGATTTCCCCCAGCAGTGGCATCATAGCGGACAGTCCCTGGATGCGCTGTACTTCGTATGAGTATGCATTGTTTATGCTCCGGAGCTCAGCCAGCAGGCCCATCAGCTTTGCATACAGAAACCTTTGGAGGGAGTAGTAGGGTTACCAGGGAAAGAAGAGGGAAGTAAAGCAGCTGGGAGTCTTGTCCTGAAGCCCCTGAACTGTCCCTTAAGGAGGCTAAGTCTGAACATTAGAAAATCATGCTGTGGACGGCACATACTATACTTTGAAAAATTTCAGAAGTCCCTAAGAGGGCCTCTATCAACACCGTCTTCCTTCCTTGTGCCTAGTTTTTCCTGAACCCAGGGCTTAGAGGTCAAGTGTAAAGGAAGTGCTAGACATGGCCAAAACTTCAACTGTATAGAACCTGGAGGTAGAACCTTCCAGAAGGAACCTCTGGAAGGTGGGTGTGTCTTCTATGTATGAAGCATCCCCCTCTTAGCAAACTGATTTATCAAGGGATGAGTAGGACAAAAAGTGTCATGAACTTCAGAGCCTGGACTGTTGAAGTAGGGACAGACTTTGTCCACAAAACTGTGAATGACCGTGACTTCAAAGGGAACTGAAAAATTCAAGGAATTGACCCAAGGGAGAGGTAGAGAGCCCAAAAGAAGAATGAGCAAGACTTTGAAAATTTTGCTTTAGTTTGGAAAGGTTGGAGAGGTGAGGTGACGGATATCACCAATCTCAGGAATGCTATCACACATAGGCTATGAGCTACTACTTTGCATCTCTACTGAATAAAACAAACAAAAAAACTTGGAAAAGTGAAATGGAACAGCATTATGAGCAATTTGGATATTGGAACTATGTGTGATAGGGGTGGCCCAAGGGAAGGTCTAGATTCCTAAGTATTTGGTTTCCCAAAGGAAACAACAGTAAACTGCATTCATCCATATTCCGGTGTTTCTCCAATTCCCTTCCGTCCCCCAATGAGCACCCAGCGTCCTACCTACCGACTTTGGGGCCTTGGCTGCTGTTCCATAATGTAGTTGTTCAAAATCAGTGCCATCTCCTCTTGCAGCTGGTCAATCTCTTCTCTCTGGGTGACTCCAGGCCTGTCTGGGATGGAAACCAGGAAGGACAAGGTAGCAGGGGACACGGGTGGGAAGTGTCACATTGTACAGGGGCTGAGAATGCTATAGACCCACTCTGTGGGCTTGGAAGCTAGATGGTCAGGGGTAGATTAAAGGGGCCAAGAGTTTTGGTAGAGGTGGCAGAGCCAGAATGCTTTGGCTTTTGGATGACTCTCACCAGGAGAGAAGAGGGCCATGGCAGCCATGAGCACGTACTCAGGCTGTTGGAGCTGCAGTCGTTTCAATGTCCAATGGAAGCGAAAGATCAACTCCAAATATTCGTACTGGAACCCTACTGTGAGAGACGGTAGGTTTGGGAGCCTCCTGGTCATCGCTCCATACCCTGTACCACAAGGATACATACCCTGTGCTGTCCTACCATCTCACCGTGGGCTGCATCTTCAAATTTGTAGCAAAGTGGCCCACAGAAGAAATTCTGTGTTTGAAGACAGAAAGTAGTGTTGAGTGAGATATGCAATATTTCCACAGCTGCTCCCTTGAGAAGGGAGATCTGGTCCTCCATGGGAAGGGACCTGTGGGGGGCAGAAAACAAGGGTGCTTTAGACTTAAGTCTGCGCATCTAAACTCCTAAATGACACATTAGGGCTGCAAATGTTAGGCCTAGTGCTCAGAAAGGCTAAGGGATAAGTGACTTTAACCAGAGACTGGCATGATTTATGAAGCATTTACTTCCTGAAAGACCACGTGATACTCACCGGAAAAGGGGAAGTTCCTTGGTGAACTTGATAATCTGCTGCACCATGAAAGTGGTGATATCTGCAAAGTGTGTGAGCAGAGGCAATGCAGGGACCAGCAAGAAGGAGGGCCGGTGATTGGTGAACAGGTAAGCCGGAGGCTGTAGAGTTGGTTCAGAGTGTGAGTGACAGGCCTCAGCCTTGGCTGTCCTTTGGGCCTCACCAGCCTTAGAAGGGGTTTTGGCTGGTTACCTGCCCACTCTGGAGTTCTGGAGACCTGTTTTCTGTCAGGGCATGGTACATAGCCCTCTCCCCCAGGCACCCAGACCAAATCTCTAAGTTCTCACCCTGAACTTCACAAACTGGTCAAACATGGGGCCCACGTGGCGAATGTGGGCCCCTACGAGGGTCTGGACCAGCTCTTTCCGCTCCTGACTCAGCTGCAGGGAAGCTTTTTGTGCCCGCCGCTGTGCCTGCCTGGCTCGCCGCAATGCCAGGGCTTCTGCTGACAGTATCACTGTGTCGGGCAAGAGAGACGACAAAGCCATTGAGAGCAGCAGAGAACACCTTTCTGCCACTCCACGAGTCGGGGCTACTCAATCTCTTATATGAGGAAGGACTGAGGGAGAAAGGAAAGTTTCTGAGTCTTCATTGGATGTCACTGAACTAGTGTCTCCAGGTGGCAGGGGATCTCTGCACTCTCTACCAGCTTAATATCCATCTGTGACACACTGCAGCAGAAAACAGTGCACCATGGGAAAGAAGGGAAGAGTGCAGAGGGAAGTGGGAAGGGCATAAGACTTTTGGCTCCTTGGGAATATTGAAGAAGGGTCATAATATTGAAAATGTCACTTCATATTTGCATAGCATTGTAATTTCTCTATGGTTAGGTTTCACCAGATACAGCAACTCTAACTTAGACAGGGCAGACGTCATATTTTTCAGAAACAGACTCCAATAACCCTTTCACAGTCATAAGTGATACAGGCAGAACTCAAATCAGCCTCATTTGGCTTCTACAGAGTCCTTTTCACTGCTCCATGTTGAAAAGCAGTGGGAGCCAGGCTGTGGTGGTGCATGCTTTTAATCCCAGCACTTGGGAGGCAGAGGCCAGCCTGGTCTACAGAGGAAAGGCTCCAAAGCTACAGAGAAGCCCCCTCTTGAAAAAAAAGAAAAAGAAAAAAAAAAAAAGAAAGCAAAGTAGTGTGATAGGGAAAAGCAGGAGTCTGAGAGGCAGACAGGCTTGATGCTGAAGTGTAGCTCTGCTTTTTAGCTGACTGACTGAAGTTGTGGGGGGGCAGTTTCATTATCTGTTGGGGCCACAGCACAGTTACCTGGCACAGAGAAAGCAGCAACGAATAACTAAGAAGTACCCGGGAGATGACAGGTACGATGTACTCCAGAGATAGAAGGGGCAAGGCAAGCCATGTATATGGAGGTGAGGGCATTTCAGGTAGAGGGAATGGGAAATGGGAAAAAGGAAAGAGGAAGGAATGGCCGCGGAGGAATAGGCTTACTAAGTTCAAGGATAGCACTGAGCCAGTGTGGCTGGGATGCATTAAAGGGCTTAAGAGACACAGTCTGAAGTGGGGTGTGTATGGAATTATGCACCTTAACAGAGATTGGAGTGGGGAGAGGCTGGGAAATGGTTCAAGATCAAGGACTGGTTGATCTTACAGAGAACCTGGGTTCAATTCCAGCGCCCACATGGCAGCTTATAAGCTATCTGTAACTCCAATTCCAGGGGATCCAGCATGCTCTTCTAGCCTCTGTGGACACCAGGCATCTACACAGTGCACAGACATATATGCAGGTAAACACTTAAACACATTAAAAATGAGTAATAAATATTTTTAAAAAGAGAGACTTGAAGTTTTGGAAACAGTAGCATAATCTGATCAGTGTCAAAAAGCTTACTCTGCCTGCTGTGTGGAACATGAGCTGTTAGGTGGACAAAACAGCAGAGAAGCACACTCAATGGATTCCTGGGATGGTAGGGGCCCAACTCACTGTCTTTCCTCATGCCAGCGTTTAGACACTTCTGCAACCTGCAGGCTGGACAGTGGCGTCTCTGGGTTTTGCTGACCTCACAGCTTCCAGAAAATGGACAGATGGGACCAACGGTTTTGCTGACGGTTCGCCTGTGAGACAGAGAAAGACGCGGCAGCATTTGAGATGGAAGTGAATAGCTAGGTGGGTATAAGAGGAGGCTGAGGGATATGGCCTAAAAGACTAAATGATTCAACAATAGGCTAATTTGAGTTGTACCCAGAGGTCTTCAGAGATAGCTGGAACATTTTCATAGGGACTCAGGAGCCTTCATTGTGTAGTACCAACTTGGTACTTTGCAGGTAGGGTGTACTAAACAAGTGCTCTTAACTAATAGGCTGTGCCTCTAGGACAAACGGTTGGCCTGCTCTTTTATTATGTCACAGTGTGATGGTCAGCAAGATTGAGTGTGCTAGACACAGGGTAGTTTAGCTTAGCTGTGGGAGTATCATAGCCGGATAAAGCTTGGAGATGTGCCAGGGTTTCAAGGCGGGCTGATAGGAGTGTGGGGGTTGTTCCTGTTGGAGAGAAAGCATTCACCTGAAGAAGCCTTTGCAGCCCTCACAAGTCAGGGCATGGAAATGATAGCCTGTGGCTCGGTCTCCACACACCACACAATTCCTTGGCCCAAATTCCTCTCTGCTGGCCATGGTTTCAAGTGTTAGTGTAGCTGTCATGGTCTCCTGAATGTGGGAAGAGTTAACAGTCAGCTCTAGACCATGTTAAACTCTTCTTCTGTGGAATCCCTTCCCGCAACTACCCCCGCCCCCTCCAATCCCCAGCACTGTCTACACTAAAAGCAAAACTGTTGTTTTCAGCCTCTGACTTCCAACAGATTACCCACCTGTTTTTCCTAGGCAGTATGACACATGCAGGCCACAAAATCTTGTGTGAGATGCCTCTCTCCAAGCCTCACACTGACCCCACTTTCCTTGTGATCTCAGGAACTGCAGGAATTAGAGATTGTCCTCGGTACCTAGAAAATCAAGGGACTTGTTTCTGAATCTCTTGTATGTGCCCTCCAGGTACTCTCTGTGCCATTTGTAGGTAGGATGCAGACTGTGGACCCAGGGCAAAGACCTGGGGCGGGAGGTTTTCCTAGCATGCCCCAGTTGTTGGTTGGTGGCAGATGGGGAGGGACTATGGTAGGTGGGGACTTCACAACTCATTAAAAGTTGTCACTTATCAGGCTCAAGGAGTTTTTCTCTGTTGGTGAGCTTTAGGCTAAATCTGCAGTTCCCTCTATATGTGGGTCCTGGATAAACTGAGGAGAGCTAAAGAGGGAGAGAGGGCAAGTTTTTTTTACATGGAGTATGCCAATAGTAAAAGGATAGCTATAACAATTATAGCAGGCTCCCAAAGGATTTTCTTTCTTTCTTTTTCTTTTTCTCTTCGTGTTTTGTTTTTCCAGACAGGGTTTCTCCCTCTGGGTGTAGCCCTGGCTGTCCGGGAACTTACTCTGTAGACCAAGCTGGCCTTGAACTCACAGAAATCCACCTGCCTCTGTCTCCCCAGTGCTAGGATTAAAGGCGTGCGCTACCAACTGCCTGGCTCTTTCTTTTCTTAAAACATTATTGATTTTTTCCTTTTAATGTGTATACCTAGTACCCACAGAGATCGAAGGTAGAGATGCCTGATCTTCTGGGACCAGAGATACAGCCTATTGTGAGCTACCATGTTCCTTCTGTACTAGGAATTGAACCTGAATCCTTTGTAAGAGCATAAGTGCTCTTACCCTCTGAGCCTTCTTTCTAGCCCCAGAAAATTGTTTAAAAAAGACTTCAGGAGACTAAGAACTTAGGCATAAAGCCAGAAGAGATCCCATTTCCTTACTTGGGATGACTGAGATATAAATAAAAGTGAACTCTAGGTGGTAGAGCAAAAGCTCAGCCAGTGAAGTGCTTAACTGTATGAGCATAGGAACCTGCGTTTAAATCCTAGAACCCACCTTGTTTAAAGATTTATTTTCTGTTTTGTGTGCATTGGTGTTTTTGCCTATATGCATGTCTGTGTGAGGGTGCCAGATCCCTTGGAACTGGAGTTACACAGACAATATTAAGATGCCATGTGGTTGCTGGAAATTAAACCTCAGTCCTCTGGAAGAGCAGCCAGTGCTCTTTTTTCTTTTCTTTTCTTTCTTTCTTTTTTCTTTTCTTTTCTTTTTTTTGGCTTTTCGAGACAGGGTTTCTCCGTATTGCTTTGGAGGTTGTCCTGTAACTCGATCTGTAGATGAGGCCTGGCCAGCCAGTGCTCTTTTTTCTTTTCTTTCTTTCTTTTTTCTTTTCTTTTCTTTTTCTTGGTTTTTCAAGATAGGGTTTGGAGCCTATCCTGGCACTCCCTCTGGAGACCAGGCTGGCCTCGAACTCACAGAGATCCTCCTGCCTTTGCCTCCCAAGTGCTGGGATTAAAGGCGTGTGCCGTGTGCCACCAATGCCAGCCCCATTTTTTTTTTTAAAAGCACAGTGGGTGTGAAGATGTGTCATTGTGATTGGTTTAAAAAAAAAAAGATAAATAGCTAATAGCTAGGTGAGAGGTAGAGGTGGGATTTCTGGACAGAGAGAGAGCTCTGGGAAAAAGGAAGGTAGAGATGCCAGGAGATACAGAGCAAGCAGGACGTACAGGAGGAGAGGTAAGAGCCACAGTCATGTGGCAGAACACAGACTAATATAAATGGGTTAATTTAAGTTAGAAGAGTTGGTTAGGAACAAGCCTAAGCTATAGGCTGATCTTTCATAATTAATGATTAGTCTTCGTGTCATTATTTGGGAGCTGGTGGGACAGAGAAACACTGATTACAGTGGGACACACTTGTAATCCCAATGCTTATGAGGCAGAGACAGGCAGATCCCTGGGGCAAGCCTAGCCTAGTTGGCGAATTCCAGACCAGTGAGACATTGTCTCAAAAAACAAGGTGGGGCTGGTGTAATGACTCAGTGGGTAAAGACACTTGCTGCCAAGCCTGATGACCTCTTTGATACCCAGAATCTACATGGTGGAAGGAGAGAATTGGCACCTGCAAGTTGTCCTCTGACCTCTATAAATGCTCAGTGGTATATGTGCACCCTTCCCAAATAAAGGGATGTAACAACAACAACAAAGCCCTCACAAACAAAATGGGTGGCACCTGAGAAATGAATGATACCCAAGATGGTCCTCTGGTCTTCACATGCGCACACGCGCGTGTGCGAGAGCACACACACACACACACACACACACACACACACACACACACACACACAACCTCTAATAAATTAGAGGCAGTTGAACTTGATTTGGGAACTCTTATCCTATAAGAGCTGAGTTCATGGATTGTGATTTGTGATTGGAGGGACCAGCTCCCCGTTTTGGCAGCCATAACAGCCGAACATGTACTTGCCTGACCTTGCCTTGGTCACTGGGAGGTCAGATGCCTGCCTCATGGCAAGGAACCAATCAGAAGTTAGCTGGTGGTGCTATGCTTTACAGCTCTGGTGTGCTTGCAGGACAAGTGCACAGCAATGATGCACAGAGCATAGCAACCACCCTGGGAGGGCCTATGGGCCATAACAACCAGTTGGCCAATCAACACAGGGTAAACCCTCCAAGCCTGGAGGCACACCAATCCTGAGCCTCAGGGTACCCCTAGACACTCCCCTTATGCTGCCCTATAAGATCTCTGTGAAAACTCTGTGAGCTGTCTTTCCTAGGCATCTGCCATGGTGGGTGGATGAAAGACCCGAGCTAACATGGGGTTAGCTCGTTAGACAACTATAATAAAGCCTCATGCAGTTTGCATCAAGCTTTCGACTCTGCCTGGTGATTGGGGTGACTGCGGTCTTGGGCTGAGATCCTGGAGGCCCGAGCTTCCGGGTATCTTTCATGATCACAAAGGACCTGGCAATCAGAGGATTCTCATGCTTGTCAGTTTTGCTGCTGTCATGCTGATATTTATTTATTTATTTAGTTTGCTTTTTCAAGATAGGGTTTCTCTGTGTAGACTTGGCTGTTCTGGAACTCTCTCTGTAGACCAGGTTGGACTTTAACTCAGAGATCCACCTGTCTCTGCCTCCTGACTGCTGGGATTAAAGGAATGTACCACTACCAGCCAGCTCAAGGTGAAAGACCCCTGGAGGCTCAGGCCCCCCAGGATCTCAGCCCAGGACCTCGGTTACCCCAAACACCAGGCAGAGTTGAAATCATGATGCAAACTGCACGAGGCTTTATTGTAGTTGTTTAACGAGCTAATCCCATGTTAGCTGGGGCCTTTCATCCACCCACCGTGGCCGATGGCTAGAAAAGATGGCTCGAAGCCACTGTATAGAGATCTTATAGGGCAGCGTAAGGGGAGTGTCTAGGGGTACCCACAGGCTCCGGATTGGTGTGCCTCCAGGCTTGGAGGGTTTGCCCTGTGTTGATTGGTCAACTGGTTGTTATGGCCCATAGGCCCTCCCAGGGTGGTTGCTATGCTCTGCGCATCATTGCTGTGCACTTGTCTGTAAAGCACACCCAGCGCTGTACAGCATAGCACCACCAGCTAACTTCTAATAGGTTCCTTGCCACGAGTGAGGCATCTGACCTACTAGTGACCAAGACAAGGTCAGGCAAGCAAGTGTTCGGCTGTTATGGCTGCCAAAATGGGGAGCTGGTCCCTTCAAAGGAAACTCTTATAAAAGAAAGCATTTAATTGGTGCTTGCTTACAGTTTCAGAAGTTTAGTCCATTTTTATCGTGGCAGCATGGTGGCATGCTGGCAGACATGTTGCTTGAGAAATAGCTGGGAATTCTACATCCTGATCTCGGGCAGTACGAAAGCAGAGAGCAACACTGGGATTGCCTTGGGCTTTTGAAACCTTAAAGCCCACCTGAGTTGTAGCAGGCTTTCTTGGACCACCAGCCCCTAAATCATGACACAGAGACTTATTATTAATTATCAGTGCTTAGGCCTAGCTTAAGCTTGTTTCTATCTAGCCTTTTAAACTTAAGTAAACCCATTTCTAATATCTATGTGCTGCCCCGAGGCTCATTTACCTCATCTATGTCCTACGCTCCATCCTGTTTTCCTGCTTCCTCTAGTTTCCTCACATTTCCACCCTTCTTCTTCCCAGTGTCCTCTGTGCCTGGAAATCCTGCCTAGCTATTGGCC